AGAAAAAGAAGAATAAAAAAGGCGCGTCTAAATTAACCAAAAATTCGCCATTGCCATTACAGTCAAGCTAGTTGATTAGAAGCACCAAATAAGACTTCACCTCGCCATAAAGAAAGTCATGCTTCGCCAATATTGTGAACAAAAAATAAATACAAAAAAAGGGGGAAGGGAAAATAGAAGCCAAAGGCCAAGGAATACCCAGTAGGAAACCCACCAAGGGGGCTACGCAAAAGATAGCGTCAACCCGGTAGGAAACCCGAACAAAAATAAAGGGTAGCCTAGGCAAAAGTTAGGGTTACAAAATAAGGTCCGCTAGGATTCCCTAAAAACAAAAAAAGGAACCTAGGCAAAAGATAGGGCCAAAGCATAATATCCTAGTTCGAAAACCCGAAGGGCGATCTAGGGACATCAACCAGCCATAAAGAGCAATGGAAACAAAACTAAGGCGCAAGTACAAAAAAGGGGAAAAACGTTTGCTTAGACAGAAAGCTTAAACACCCAAGCCTAACCCTAGCTGGCCATGCTTACAAAGACTCTTTCAAAATAAAAACAACATTCTAAAACACAAGCCATTGAATTTATCTCCTTACTTCTCTTCTCTTGACCCTCACAACAATATTCTAATAATTAATTTGGGAATATGGAGGCGTATAGTCAACAAGAGGATTGAAATCCCTAAAGTGGAGAAAGAGGGACACTACATGGTAAAGAGTGCTCTACAAAAGAAAAAAGAAAAGGAAAAGGAAAAACAAGCTACCCTTCGGTCATAAGAAATCCGGCATGGTATAGCCAAACACAAGAGCACAGATCAGAGGGCATTCGATGCTACAAGACGCGTCAGTAAAATCCTTCTGAAAAATTAATTGAAATAGGCATTATAGGACATCAAACATAAAAACATTGCATGCATAAAATGTTTTTGAACCAGGTCCTATTTCCTTTTACCAAAAAAAAAAAACCTCTGAAATTCGAGACGGCCGTCCGAAATTCCCAGACCGCCGTCTCGGTCTCCCAGCAAAACAAGACCGCCGTCTCGACCATCGAGACCGCCATCTCGACTTAGCTGAAAATGAGATCGCCGTCCTGCTTGGCAAGACGGCCGTCTCGTTTAAGGCCAAAGTCGAGACCGCCGTCTCGACTTCCCAGACGGTCGTCTCGACCTGCGCAAATTCGAGACCGCCGTCTCGACTTCCCAGACGGCGGTCCCGAAATCAACTTTTTCCCTATAAATAGGGAAGGGGCTGGGAGGTTCCTCACAATTCCTCTGTGTTCCAACTCTCAGATCTCTCACTTCAGAGCACTTTCTGGCCAAAATGTTCGGTAGAAGTCAATCCAGGAAGAGAAGAGGCACTGTCGGCGCTAGCAGTTCCTCGGTGCTAGCTCCACAGGATCCTACTCAGCTCTCGCCACAGCACCAAGCCTGCCTCGAGCACATCCAGGGTTATACGTGGCACCCCATGCTCAGGCTTGACTTCGGCATCCTCGCCGAGTTCGGGTGGGAGGACGATGTCCGGGCCCACATAGACAGCATTGGGTGGGGCTTCCTGCTGTAGCCTCCACCTACCCACGTGTACCCTCAAGCGGTACTGGAAATCTTGGCCTCCATCTCCTACGCCGAGGCTCCCTCCATGGTCCTGGGCCTGCCACCAACCAAAATGGTGAACTACTTCATGGGTGGGACATATCGGACTACCACCATCGACGAATTCAATGTGAGCATTGGGTTCGTCCAGCCCGAGGATGTGCTAACTCGGGAGTACCGTGAGGCCATCTGCAGCCGCCCCACCAACCTCACCGCCGGCGAAATGTGGGAGGAGCTCACCAGGTCGCCCATGCTTCCCACGCTGATGAAGGGGTCAGCACTCCCCCCAGCCCTCCGTATTTGCCACAATCTGCTGGCTGGGACTGTCCACGAGAGGAAGGAGATCCAGCGTAAGGTAACCCTCCCAGACCTCTTCGTGCTTTACTGCATGAGCCAGGGGCGACGCTGCAACCCTGGCTACTTCTTCCTGAGGGCCCTTAAGGACTTCGGGAGCAGACCAGTGGGAGCCGTCCTCATGGCTCCTCTTATCACTCCCCTGGCAGAGAAATGGGGGTGCGTTGGCCGGGAAGAGCTGGCCGCCAGTCTACGACCCGAAACCATCAACGGGTCGATTCTGGTCAGCATTGGGATGCTGATACGCCGCGGGGCTCAGTTGGCCCTTTATCCCTCGCTGGATTTCGCGTTGGACCTCCAGGACATCGTGGCGATGCACGATCTCCCAACGCCTCCCGATTTCCAGCAGCCACATCAGCACCAACAACCACCACAATACACAGACGACTTTGCTGGCGTAAACCGCAACATCCACGATCTGCGCCAGCAATTCGATCAAATGTCTGTGCGGCAAGAAGCCTTTGACACCCGGCTGGAGACGATGTACCAATATTAGCAGGGAATGCGGCAGGAATAGACAACATTCCAACAAGAATACCACGACGAAGCCCGGGAGCAAGAAGAATTCCGGGAACATATGTACCAGCAATTCCCCCATCATGGATCGTCTCCAGAGGATAGCCGTTAGGGATAGTGCTCGAAATGGCTGTAATAAAATTTTCCCTTATGAATAAAATTTATTTCATGCATTCATTGCCAACTTTTTTTCAAAAGTCAAGCGTAACCAAAAGAGTCTAAAAGTAAAAAGACGTACGCTCAAAAAAAGCCAAAATCCTAAGTCGCGAGAAAAAAGAGATAAAACCGCGAGAAAAAGGCAGGATTAAGACAAGCCATCACCTTGACCAACAGAATTCGACAACAAAGTCTAACACAAACAAAGCCCACCCGACCAACCAGCAAGAGTCGGGTGATCACCACCAAAAGATCAAAAACAAAGAATCCCCAGCAACCAACAAAGCTGGATGAACACCAACAAAATCCCCCGCATAGACCGGATGACCAAATACAAACAAAGACAAAGAGAACACATCTCAACACCGGCGCATGAGCTAGAGCAGTAAGCCACCACCACAGCCAAAGGATAGGCTACCGCAAGAAGGAGCATCCGGAGGCACAACACCAGATGGGGGTGTATACTCATCAGGCCTTACAAAAAGGGGCTTACCGAACGAGGGTTCATACTCGTCAAACACCAGATGAGGGTGTATACTCATCAGGCCTTACAAAAGAGGGCTTACCGGGCGAGGGTTCATACTCGTCAAAACCAGATATGGGTTCGTACTTATCAGCCGAAAGGGTCAGCTATCGCCAGAAGAAGCATCCTAGAAGCACACCCTTTTTTCAGAAGATCAACCACCGCAATTCAGAACATCTGAAGGACAACCGGGCAACAGAGTCAATTCCTTTACCCTCTAGTCAATCTCCGTGGCACAAAAGGCCAGCCGTCGACTAGTCGGGTAAAGGGGGGGCAGTTGTAGACCCCTAATCTTGCCCGACCTTGTAAAAAAGACCAGAAGACCTCCTTTTCGAAGATGGATGAAGCCTAAGAAGCCACTAGGAGAGACTATTAGGCCCCATACTAGGATAGGAGGGATTGTTGGTCCAAAAATAAGGATTTTCTCCTTTTAAGGTTGAGACCATCGTCTTGGATTCGAGACCGCCGTCTCAATTGGCGAGACCGTCGTCTCGACCTTGTCAGATGAGACGGCCCGTCTCGACCTTGTCAGACGAGACGACCCGTCTCGACCTGACAGGCGCGAATCCCTATATATAGGGCCCCTATTCCCCTCATTTCCAACAAGTTCTTCCTCCTTCTCTCTAGAAATCTCTTAAAATTCTCTGTCTATAACCCCTCCGAAGCATTTTCGGAGTTTCTGAGCGTTTCTAAGAGTGTTTTTGAGCGTTTCGAGAGGTTTCCGACGCTGTGTAGAGTGAAGGGCTGCCGCAAAGCACGCTATTTTTAGAAGGAATTAATAAGAAAAGCTTGCTTCGAAGGTTTATACTCTCTCTCTCTCTACTTTTACCGCTTTAATTTTAATTGTGCAATAGAGATTACACTACAAAAAAAAGCTGATTATCTATGGATTATTATCTACGGATAAAAATCTGTAGGTAAAATATATATTACATACGGATATTATCTACGGAATTTTATCCGTATGTAAATTATCTATTATCTACGGAATTTACCTACGGATGAGATGATTATGCATTACCTACGGATATAGGAGGTAGGTAATGTTCTTTTACTACTTTACCTACTCATTTACCTACGGATGGGTAATTAGAAAAAAAATAAACCCCCTCACTCAGACCTTCATTTTCACACTTCCTCCGTGCCTCACCCAACCTTCCAAACTCCTTCCTTCCTCTCCCTCAATTTCACTAACCTACACTATAACCCGTAGCCCACCTCCTTCACCAGAACCTTGACTGTAGCCTCCCCACTCTTGAGCACCCCACACGGTACCCTCATTTGAACCCATATACCCAACCCTATTCTCTCCACCACCGGGCTTCTTCCCCATCACCACCACAGCCATACCCGTGCCCTAATTCCACCTTCACTCACCAAAGCTTCTCACCAACGCAGAACCACCCCGCGGTCGCACCCCATCTCAGCTTTTTGCCTGCAGATTCTCACCCAATCACCCTCACCGGAACCACCACGTCTCACGACCATGAACCCCCCCTTTTGCGGCCTCCACCACCATCTTCACGATGCACCGCCACTCTGAGGTCATCATCCCCTTCGTTGAGCCATTGGTCGCACCTCCTAGCATTTGTTGCTAGCCACCGCGAGGCCAAGTCGCAGTCGCGACCTCACCCTAATCCATCCACCACCAGAGCTCGTCGTCAGCCGCGACAACCACCACCATCGAGCGTCCCAACCCCCACTCCTCACCACCAATGTCTCCACTGTGCTCCACTTCCCTCACCCTATGTTGAATCTCTCCCTTTTCCCCAAACCACCGTGCATCACTGCCCATAGCAGGCCACCGCGAAACCCAGCCGCAGATTAACTTCCAGGTCACCACACCACCACACCCCCTGTTGCCCCCTATCACGAGCATCGTTGTAACCCAGAACGGGAATCACCTCGACGCCGGCTACAGTCACCACCCGCTGCAGTCACCGCTTCTCCTCGGTCCAGTCCACCCCCCATGGGGCCACTGAGTTTGTTGTGACCTAAAGGTGAGTCAGGGAGGCCACGGGTCAAACCTAGTGTTTCATATTATTCTACTTTGATATGATTTCTTGCATGCACTTTTCTCGATTCTGGACTGTTTTGTTTAATTTTGATGTGTTTTGGGTGGATTGAGTATTGATGGTTTCGTTTAGTTGATTTCTGTGTTGAGTGGGTTGGTCCATATTGTTTTGAGGGTTTGAGTTGGGTTTTGTCTGATGTGTGTTGTTGTTTGCACTTTGGTGAAAACATACAAATTTCTTTTCTTTTCTTTTCTTGGCCCTATCAAAATTGTGCATTGTGTTTAATGTGACTAATGGCATTGATTCTTTTTTTCTTCATTGTGTTCAACTTTACCGTGCATTGTGTAATTTCAGTTTTAAATGTGTCACTAGATAGACAATTGTGATTTGTGTCACTAAATTTTGTTCACTAGGATAGACAATGCACGGATAGACAATTGTGATTTGTGTCCCTTTTTCTATCATTTAAAATCAATGATATTTTGCAGATTGTACAAGGGAATCAATCATGTTGTGGACATATCCTCAGTTTTCTCCTTCAAGCATACAAATGAGCACTACCTGTTTATCTTCTAGTTTATCTGATACCTGCACTTATAGTTCATAGAAAAGAACTTTCAAAAAGGTGATTATCTAATACAAGTGCTTAGCAACCAATTTACTCTTCAGTTGATCCTCTGTGTTCTTTTAGAAAGCATGTTATATCATGATTTAATTTCTATGAGAGCTATGATAAGTTTTATTATAGATTGTAGTTTTTGAAGTGAGTATATTATCAGTGCCACATATGCTAATTTTTTCATGAAAATGGTTTTTCTTGGACAATAACTTATTCCATCTGATATTTCTCTAAACATTCAACTTTAGCTCGAGAGGAATGCTAGTAGCTTACTCTCTAACATAGTCTTCATAATTGGTTAAAATTACTGAAAACAAAAAAATCAGGATAGAGAAGCATTAAATGAAAATCAAGATAGAGAAGCATTAAATGAGAAGTGGGACCCACTTAAATGTGTGATTTCCAGTAATTTTTTTTTTGTCAATAATAGTAGTGTAAAAGAGGGTGTTGTTAGTATTCCTCTTAGCGCTATATAAGTGTCATGTAAGTATGACAAATTTAATGAGATTATGTTGTTTTGCTCTTGTTCCTATATCAAAATGCTTGTGTGCAGGCCCTGAACAATATTAGCCAAGGGTCTTTTTGGGACAGCGAGATCAAGCTTGTTTTTGTTTGTGTATTGCGCTTCTGCGTGGTAAGCATCCAAAAAATAGTTCATGCGCTACTATATTGTTACTGGTTTTCTTCCTGGTAAATTTGCTAGTTGAGTTTGATTTTTCCAATCATGTTGAAGAATGAAATAGCATGCTGCCCATGTGGAATATGAGGGTCAACATGTTTGCATAAAAGTGCCAGTTGAATTGTTCAAGTTTATGTTAAATTCCATCACTAATATATAAAAAGGCTTTGTATGTAGTTATGATAAAAACAAACAGATTCTTATATGTAATGGTGAAACAAATACCAATATCCAATTAATATAGCAATTATTCAAAAGATTTCTATCATTGCTATATACACTAATACACTAATATACATATCATTGCTATCAAAAGATTTCTATCATTCAATTCCACCAGACATTTCACTGCCTAATGCAACCGTGGCACTATCTGGGGATATACAAGTCACCCTTCTAATGATTAAGTGTTGGGTTGGCTTTCCAAATCTAATTCCATACTCATCCCACCCACTTTTTACTGCAATGCAATCATCACCAGAAACAATGTAGCAGTCTTCAATCCTAGTGTTTGTACATGAATCTGTGGAGAAGAGAAAAAAAAGTTAGGAATATAGACAGTGGTTGTCAACTAATATAGGAAATCCAAGTAATGAAAAACATTTTAGTATCAATGCCCCTATTATGACTAGAAAAATAAGTATGTTATCAAACTATAAACTACACAAGAAAGGGAGAAAGGTTAGAAATTTAGTGACGTAAGTTTGCCATCAAAAGTGAAAATAAGTATATAATAGAAAACAAACATTTCTCCTGGGTCTATTCCATCTGTGTTGGGAGAGGTCACTGGTGCAAGAATGGTAAGCCCTTTTATAATTATGTTACTGAAGATGTAAACCATGGTCAAAATAATGAAGCACACTATACATCAATAAAAAAAGAGTGCGAAATTTTAATACATTTGATCAGAAAGAACAAGCCTTATAACAAACCTGCTGTAAATTGGATGGACAAACCAGCTTGCGGAATTGACCAAAGTGAGATCTGATATTTGAATTTGATCAGAGTACATGATCTCAATCATGTATGGCCTGGTGAGAGTCAATTGGTTCTTGTGGAACTTGTCCAACCAATAAGATCCTTGACCATCAATTGTACCATTTTGACCTAAAGACCAAATTCAAATAGGTCAGATTAATAATATTTGGCCACCTTAAAACAAACTTAACAACCTTTAATAGCATTCTATTTTTTGGAATAAATAATTACCAGTTATTACAACATCAACGAGGTTAGTCCCAAAAATTAGACTGCTAAACCTTCCACCAGGAGCATCTCTTCCTCTTCCATAAGAAGGTAGTACAAGAAGTTGGGGCCATTCTAATTCATCCTGTTAATGTGGTAATGTAAGTGACCCTTTAGAAGATCATAGAGTCTAAAAATGTAAATGGAAGAGAATGGAGAAAGCAGTGGCTAGAGGCTAAACCTGAGAAGCAAGAAGAACAACACCCTTTTGGAGAAAGAGAGTGAAATGGCTTGTAAGATTGAAAGGTCCCGTTAGCCATTTGCCAGGTGGCACAATAAGTTGTGCACCTCCATCAGAAGCATATTGGCTTAGTTTGCTTATTGCAGATCGAAACACCTTCGTGTTCGATGTTTTTCCATCACCAACCCCACCAAATTCTGTCAAAACTGCACTGTGTTTTCTGCAATTTATGGCAGGGTATTCAACGTTGCTCAATCCATTATATTCCCTACATTCTGCTACCTTCACATTTACTGCTCCCAATATTATTATCAAAGAGATCACACCAATCACACCAGCTTGAATTTAAGATATGTGGCTCTATTGAGTGTGAAATGAAAACACCTGGTTTTAGATACTTGTATTTTTTTTCTTGTGTTCAATTGTTATTGTCAATGCTCTTAGCAAAGTAATGTAAAAGGAAAAATTGTAATTAGATCCCACCACGCTCCGCAGCCCCATGGCTCACATGGGCTTGTTGTGCTCTAAACACTACAATGCCTGCATCACCACCCCACTCCTCGGTTACAGTTGAGAAACATTGTGGAAGGCTTTGATACTAATTAATAAGCATCTTAGGGAAGCCACACTACAAAAGTTGGCTGCTATTATAGTTGAAGAGCCCAAAACCTTATGATCCCCACATTTTCCATACCTTGCAATCGGATCTTAACACATTATGTTTTTTTGTTAAATGGTTCATGATCTGATACCATGTTATGAATCATCTAATGACATATTAACTGGTTCATGAGCTTTTTAAAATGCAGAGATTGTTGATATTGAAGCTTCACAAACGATAGAAGGATAAAGGGAAAGAAGTGGCTGCTCATCCAATTTCAAGATCTTTGTTAGTAGGTAAGTAATTACCTTTGACTTTTCTATATTGAATTTTAAATAATGATTGATTGGTTGGCTATGCATGCCATGTATTCAGTGAGGAATTGGGGGGGTAGTAAATGTAACATGTAACATGGCTAGTGGAAGAATTGATTTGTTTGATTAATTTTTTCAATTTGTTTGCATTGATTCAGGATGAAGATGAGATTAGTTATTTAGTTATTCTAACCTTGTTGGCTACATGGAATGGCCTTCAAGTTATTATACTGGTCATTACCAAACACTTGTCAAAATCTATTCTAAGTTGGTATTTTAATTAGTGTAACATTGAAGTTCATATTTTGTAGAACATGGATCAATTTCATGAAAATCGCCACTGGATGTATGATCGAAGCCATAGTAAAAGAGGTGGTTTAAAACAAAGTTTTATTGATGGTGTTGAAGAGTTTGTCATGAAAGCTTCTCAACAAGTTTGTTATCAAAATGAAGTCCAAACGAGATGTCCATGCAATAAATGTCAATGTACAAAGATCTTGCCAATGGAAATGGTTACATTTCACCTTTATAAAAATGGTTTCATGCCTGATTATTATGTTTGGGTTGATCACGGTGAGCAAATGCCTCATGCTAACAAAAATTGGACACATGCTTCAAGTAGTGAGTTACATTTTTCAGAAGATGAGTCATTGATGGCAATGCAGGACATGGTGTATGACGCACTTAGGCAACTTGAAACATTTCAACCATCAGAGCCAAATATCATGGAAGAGCCTCCAAATGAAGAAGCTCAAAGATTTTATGATTTGTTGTTGGAAGCGAATAAACCTTTGTTTGAAGGTGCTTTAGACTCTAAATTGTCCATATGTGTAAGATTGTTAGCTTGCAAATCTAATTGGCATGTTCCTGATCACGCTTTAAATTTCATTATAAAAATGCTTTTGGATGTAACACCCAACAAAGATAGTTTACCAAAAAGCTATTATGATGCGAAGAGGTTAGTTTCAAAGTTGGGATTGGAGGCTAAAAGGATCGATTGTTGTGTTAATGGTTGTATGCTTTTTTATGATAATGGTTACGGGAAGAATGATGGAGCTTTACTACAATGTAAATTTTGTCATAAGCCTAGGCATCATGCCCCAAAACTTGAAACTCGTAAAAATAAACCAATTCCGATTAAGAGCATGTTCTATTTACCTATAATTCCAAGGTTAAAGAGGTTGTATGCATCCATGCAAACAGCTAGACAAATGACATGGCACTATGACAATAAAAGACCAGAAGGTGTGTTGTGTCATCCATCTGATGGTAAAGCTTGGAAACATTTTGATCAAGTTTATCCAGATTTTGCTGCTGAACCACGTAATGTAAGACTAGGTCTATGTTCTGATGGATTTAATCCATATATTCAAGCATCTGCCACCCCATATTCTTGTTGGCCAGTAATTATGACCCCATATAATCTTCCTCCTGAAATATGTATGTCTAGACCTTATATGTTTTTTACATGTCTCATTCCCGGTCCACGTAATCCAAAGTCATGTATTGATGTGTATTTACAACCTTTGATAGATGATCTGAAGCAATTGTGGAGAGGAATTGAAACATATGATATTTCAAGGAAGCAAAATTTTGTAATGAGGGCTAGTTTGATGTGGACTATTAATGATTTTCCTGCATATGGTATGTTGTCAGGTTGGGGGACTCAAGGTAAACTAGCCTGCCCGCATTGCATGGGGGATACAAAGGCCTTTACATTGCAGAATGGGAGGAAAAATAGTTGGTTTGATTCACACCGTAGGTTCTTGCACAAAAATCATGTATTTAGAAGGAATAAAAAAGCTTTCAGAAAGGGGAAAACTGAAACTGGTGACCCACCATGTACAATGACATCTGAGCAAGTTTGGAGTATAATTATGGATGTACCCAAAGTCATAGATTACCCTCATATGAACAAGTTACCAGGCTATGGGGAATGGCATAATTGGACAAAAAGAAGTATATTTTGGGATTTGCCCTATTGGAAGGATAATTTATTGAGGCACAATCTTGATGTTATGCACATAGAGAAAAATTTCTTTGACAATATATTCAACACTGTCATGAATGTCAAAGGTAAGACAAAAGATAATGATAAGGCAAGGAAGGACCTAACTTTGTATTGTTGTAGACCAGATTTAGAGTTGAAGTTGTAGGCTAATGGGAAGATGGTAAAGCCAAAAGAAAATTATACTTTAACTGCAGAGGAAGCAAAGTTAGTTTATCATTGGATCAAGGAACTTAGAATGCCTGATGGTTATTCATCCAACTTAGCAAGATGTGTCGATGTAGACAAGGGAAGGATGCATGGGATGAAGAGCCATGATTGTCATATTTTTATGGAGTGTTTACTCCCTATTGCATTTAGTTCATTACCAGTGCATGCTTGGAACCCTCTTACTGAACTGAGCCATTTTTTTAAAGATTTGTGTTCTAGAACAGAGGCATCATGACTTGGCTAAAATGGAAGAAAATATTCCAATAATTCTTTGTAAGTTGGAGAGAATATTTCCCCCTGCATTCTTTGATTCAATGGA